GCCGCTGGGGGCGGGGGGGGTGCGCTCAAAGCCCGGGGCCAGCAGCTGCTCGTTCCCAAGGGGCGGTGTTTGCAGGCAGCATTCCGCTTCCTCTATGGAGTAGGGGCATACCCGTAAGAACAGTCCCTTGCATGGACAGCTGATGAGCCGTCATCAGTCAGGCGGTCTCAGAAACAACGATCCCCCCCCCCGGTTTTTCAGAGTGCCTCCACCTCACCGTAGCGTGATGAAAAGTGCACGTGTAGGTCTACGTACACACGCGCGAGAATATCGTGATGGGAAGCCAGATCGGTAGCTACACGGCACGTCTTTCGCCCCCTACTGGCGCTCCCGCGCTGGTGCACCCGGTAAGTGATCGCTTTATAAGGACCCGATTTAAGAAAACAGAATTGTTGCTGGATTGGACCGCATGCGGGAAGTAATACGTTTGAATTCTTTGGTTGTGAGGAGAATCAGGCGTAATAATAGCAAGGGTTCGGAATAACCGATCTGGCATGCTTCTTTTCTTTTTTTCCCCAAACTCCTTCACCTCTCTCCCTCTCCCTCCCTCCCTCCTATGATTTAAGACATACAGCCGCTGCTACAATCCAGGAAAAATAAGCATTTTCCTCCTTAGGCTGTGTTCAAACAACATGCTCAGTGAGATCTAATGAATTGGTTTGCACAATACAGTATGCTAAGCTAAGCTTGGTCAATGTTAACCTTTGCTTTCCTTTTTTGGTTTTTTTGGTCACTTGCCATACTGTGCAAACCCGGACTTTTTGATTAGTTTATGTTTAAGTGGCTTATGTAAACCCGGAAATGCAGATTGTGTGAATGCAGCTTTAGGGTAGTAGGAGCTGAGCGTTACATCATCAAGCATTAGCCTTAAGCAATGGCAACATACAATGTAGTAAATGTTAGTCGCTGTTATGTTTTCTACAGTCTTTACGTACTAAAACTGTCATATTTTTAAACTTTTAAACTAGTTTTAAGTTTATGAGCAATGTTGGTTCTGTGAGAGTTCTGGCTCTGTAATCAAGAGGCAAGAGATCTAGTTTCTTTTTTAAAAAATGCAGTGTTTAAAAATAATGGAATTTTCTCTGCTCATTTTTCAGCTTTCCTGCAAAAGACAGGAAGTCCTTAATTTCTGAACAAAGTCTCATCCAATAATACTATGATCTTCTCAGTTTCTTATGCAAGGTTGGGGTAATTGCACATCTAGAATCCACTTATTTGATCTAATTCTTTTAGCCTACAATTTAAGTTTGTTCTGTAATTTGTGTATCTTCTGGGAACAAAGGTTTGCTGTATCTTCTAAAGCACAAGGTCACAGATAAACAGGTCACAATTCCTTTTTTTCCCCCATTTTTAACTGGTGGACAATGAAATGGAGATGGAAGAAACAGATCGTCAGAGAGCTATTTGGCTAAGAAAAGCATTTCATGGATATGCAGTTACTGAATTGCCAATTTACGACTTCTTGTTGCAGCACAAGAAGCATTTAGCTATTCCTTCTGCATGTTGTGACAGGATAAGTAGCAGTCTGAACCTGGGCACTTCCCAGTAGGTATGACTTAATTTCAACCTCTCTCTCAAGGTAAAGGCAAATTGGGAACTGCTAGTTTAGTGCAGAAAGGTATTGTCCTTTTTCATTACATGTACTCGCTAATTTTGCTTTGCCAGTTCATTGCCAGTTTGGAGCAACTTACACTGACTTTGGATATATTTATCTGAATTTAATTTTTGTATCCAAATAGGAAATGATATGTTTTTTGTCTTACGCTTTCTTACACATTTGGTCTGTTACCCTCCCTTTGTCATAATTCACTCCCTAAACATAACCATAGCACTGAAAACGGGCCTGCACGCATCTGATAAAAATAGATTCTGGCTAAGGTTATACTATAATAAATATATTACTTTGACGTCCTTGGGGTTCTCTGAGCTTGGTGGTTTTCTTGCAGACCTTTTGTTACTGCTTAGGTGACATCTTCAGTGCTAGAAGGGAGTGGGGTTTGCTCTCTGTTTTTATGCAGTAGTTGTCAGTGTTGGTGGGGGAATGGTTTTTTCTTGAGTTTCTAGATTAGGCTGTTGTTTGCTGCTTGATTGTTTGTCTGAGTTGGTAGTTCCTTGATTAGGGTATTGTTTACTGTTTGGTTATTTACCTGGTGTTAATCCTGGTGTTAATCCCTGCTTATCTGGGTGTTGATTGCTGGCAAGGAGGTGTTCTGGCTTCCTTTTTATTGTCTCTTTTGAATAATGTGTAGATGTTGTTTATCTCTGTGCGCCTGTTGATGGCTGCCTTGTCTGAGTTGGTAGTTCCTTGATTAGGGTATTGTTTACTGTTTGGTTATTTACCTGGTGTTAATCCTGGTGTTAATCCCTGCTTATCTGGGTGTTGATTGCTGGCAAGGAGGTGTTCTGGCTTCCTTTTTATTGTCTCTTTTGAATAATGTGTAGATGTTGTTTATCTCTGTGCGCCTGTTGATGGCTGCCTTGTCTGAATACCAAGCTTCCAGGAATTCCCTCACATTTTGGGGTTTAGCTTGGTTTAAAATGCTGACAGTTTCCCAGTTGAAATTATGGTTAAGTCTGTCCATGTGTTGTGAGATTAAGTTTTCATCGTGTCTTCTGACTGCTAGTTGGTGTTCA